GTTGATGGTGTGCGGGTAATTGAAGAACTGAAAGACAGAATGGGTAGAAGCTCTCGTATTTTAGGAAATGTAGAAGTCACTATTACGAGAATCCTTAGTTATGGACAATAAAAATACACCCTAGACAGGACACGAATCTCCACTTCAGGTTTGCCGGCCTAGTGTGCTCACCACTAAGCCACGAGGGCCGCCTTGCCCCTCTCATCCTCTGATATTCACGCTTTAGATCAGCTCATCTTGACTTGAAACAGAACACGTCAGGTGATTTGACAGAAATTCCGCAAAAGTGTTAGCTCCAATCAGCGCAGAATATGACTGTTTCAGCTTGAGAGCTGCTCGAAACTTGAAGCACTGGGGCGTGCTCTTTGTGATACACCTTATCGACTTTCCAGTGCTCCAGTTTGCCTCAAACCCCGTAAACGTTATAGTTCATCACACATGACTTACGTTTCAGCTATTAAGGAAGCAATGGAACGAAGGCTTTAAAAGAGGACGGGGCTATTTGCGCACTTCACGCTTCGCTCTTCGTACAGCTTCACCACGCGGAAAGGGTCAAGGATAGCCATATCAGGGCTCCGTTTCTGAATTCCAACCTCTGCAGGGTGGTATTTGTGAATACCAATCTCTCAGCGACGCAAGTTAAGGCGAAAACGCAGGTTAAAGAAGCCGCGGACAAGGCAAGAAAGGCAGAGAACAAACTGAAATGAGAGGGCGCAGAAAAGAACCGCGTTTTGCTATTTTCAAGCCACTGGTTGGCCGTGCGCAGCCAGAACTGGAACGGTACTTGCATACCACTGTCCTTCAACCCCACTCTCATGTACATTTGTGTGAGGAAAATCACCCCTTACTGCAGCTGATAACCCATCCACCCTGCACATGGCAAGGGCCACGATCCTCAGAGATATGTGCAGTTTTTCCAAGGCATTATCAACGTGCGCCCGCTTTCAATTAGCCATATCTGAGAAAAGAAGTTTGAAAACTGTAAAATTTTCACACCTCGTCAATGCCATGTTTATCAGCAAACGTGCTGAAGAACCATGCTGTGTGATCCGAATTGAACAACAGAGGCTGAGTGAAAAGTATGAAATAGAGGCTGTAGGATAACGGGACTAATAGAACGACGTAGGTGCGCGCGTCCTTGAACAGCTGAAAAGGACGGAATTAACTTTCACGTAAGTTGTTGAACTCCCTCAATTTTTAAACACAGTTTTCACAGCCTCATTTTCGCCTTTCGAGTAAGAAAAATTGTACACATTGGGACTTGTTGTGAAAGTGATGAAAACCGGTAAAGTTAAGACGTTTAAATTCATGAAGACGCTTGTACCAACATGTAGCACTACCGCAGGTTATTACTGCTCACATCCACTTAGCGCTCTACCTCTCTCTAGTTACCATCGAGTTCCTCAAACGAAACAAGTTACTAAATAGGTGTCACTGAGAGAAATGAAGAGTCAGCTAACTAAGGATGGTTCTGAAGTTGAAATGACCCTTTGTGGAGGCACACCTTTCACATTTTTTTATCATAGTCCGCTGAACAGGCAGAACGAAAGTTGATGGACTTTTTGCCTGTTTCTCTGCGCTGAATGCACAGCCATACCTGGGCTACGTCTAGGACTCCAATGGCCTCAATTTGTTAGAAGTGAAAACGACATTGTGGCTAGCGTCGCTCCAACGGTACCTGATCCGACGCCTCTCTAAGCCAACTGAACTTTCCTTCTTTTTTCCTGCCAGGTAGTAGGGAAAAATAAATACCTGTTCAGCGGACTAATGATAAAAAAACTTGAACTGTAAAGAAAGCTGTCAAATGCCACTACGGCATTTAGTTTGATTAGTGACGATTCCCATA